GAAACAATAGTTGTACTTTTGCAAAAGGTGACTAAAATCCAATCTTCAAAATTAACTATTATATTATTTAAATAATAATAATAATAATAATAAAATTACAAGTAAAAGTAAAGACCCTCAGTGGTCTTTACCCCCCACACACACACACAAATAGTGTTGTGCATAGCAGCCATGGGATGATGGGGTTACAGTGTGGATCAATGAGGTAGCATTTGTGACTGTGGAGAGGCTGGCTGCCGTGGTTATTCAGCTACTAGGGGCAACAAGGGCAGCGACCAGGCAAACCACACGCTCCAGGTGCTGAGTCTTCTTCGGGGAGTTTCCCTGGAAGGAGAGGGCAGAGTTTGCCAAAGAGCAGCTTTCCCTTGCCTGGGACCAGGTGCCCCCTAGGGCCTTGGGCAGAGCGGTAAGTGGACCCCCCTATACCTGATCACACCGCTCAAGGGGCAGCCTCTTGCCTCTGTGGAGGTCTGCAGTGTCCCCCCACCCCCAAAGACAGAGCAAGAAGGAGATGACTGAGTCTCAGGCTCTGGGGCAAACCTGATGGATGGATCAAGGGTCCTCACCTCCTCTTGGACCACTGGTCAAAACCCATCTCCTGCTGCCTACTCCAAGCCTCCCAGGTCCTCAGCTCACCCACCAACTTCCCAAGACCCCGCCCCAAGGACCCTGCAGGCACTGCTTCCAGTCTCCCTGGTTTGGCTCTTGCTTAGTTGACTTCACTTGTCCTGCATGAGCCCACTTGTCTCTTCCACGGGGCAGGGCGGGCATAGGCTGGGCTGGCACCTCTGTGCCCTGGTGCCTGACCCCGTTTGCCACCCAGTCTCAGTCCTGGGACTCAGGGGTGGGTCGCCTTTCCAGATGCCAAGTCTTCAGGAGCTGCCTACCCAACCTGCGAGTGGCACTACGACGCCTGTGCCAGCCCCTGTTTCCAAACCTGCCGTGACCCACAGGCAGCCAGCTGCCAGGATGTGCCCAGGTCAGGGGACATGGAGTCAGGGTGTCCACACCTGTGCGTTTGCACTTCATGTGTGCGAATAGGCTTGCGTGCAACCTGGTGGGAAGGCAAGGGCTTGTGCCGAGGTGTGCGTGTTGACTTGGACTATGCATGTGTGTCACGTCTGCGTGTGTGGGGATGCGTGTGCTGGGGCAAGCCTGGGTTTCTGTGAGGGTGCAGCTGAGTGCATGCAAAGGGGCGTATGTGTTGGTGTTTGCAGCAGTCCACATGGGCCTATAGTTTGTGTGAATATTTTTGAGTCCTGCAGACGGGAATGGGGTGGTGCATGAGAATGTGTGAGAAGGTGCCAATCAGGAGACACATGAGCATGTGTGAGTGTGTGCACAAGTGCGTGTGGGAAAGACCTAGGTGTGGCCCTCCCGCTGCATCTGAGGGGCAGGAGTGCGTGGGGATGTTTGGGATGTGTGTCTCCATGGAGGCTCGCGCGAGTGTGTACATGACAAACACACACCTGTATGTTAAAGCACAGGTAAGGCCGGCGTTCAGTGCAGGTGAGAAGAGGCGACCCTCTTCACACTCCAGATGGCTAACTGGCCCCCTGTTCTGCCCTCAGGGTGGAAGGCTGTGTGCCTGCGTGCCCCTCCCCCAAGGTCCTGGATGAAGTCACACAGAGATGCGTCTACTTGGAAGACTGTGAGTCACTTGAACTTCTCATCCCTCCCTGGGATTTCAGTAGATCCCCAAGGTCTCGTTGCCCAGCCATGCTGAAGACCCCTGGGGTCCCTGTAAAGCACGGTCAGCATAGGGAGCCCTGGGAAGAGAACTCGGTAGAGTGGGCAGACACTATTCCCATTTTACAGGGAGAAAAAAAATGAGACCAGGGTAGAGAAGGGACTTGGGGTGATGTGGTGTGAAGGTGGTACAGCCACAGCTCCTGGCTGTGGGCTCTGGGTTCAAAGTATGGGCACAGTCTATACCCACTGATTTCTCTGAGTCACTAAAAATGGTAGAGGCCCCAGGATTGATCAGGCAGCCTGATTGGCTCTCAGATGCTGTCTCCCCCCTCTCCTCAGCAACTTCCCGGGTCACCTAGGACTTAGTTCAGGAGCCCCACATCACTGTCCTGTTCAGGTAGGACCCCCTCTGGCAGTAGTCACCCTACTGTCTGACTCCTCTCTTCTACCAGGTGTGGAACCTGCCATTTTGGTTCCCACAGAGGCCCTTGGCAATGAGACCCTGCCTTCCAGTCAAGAGCTGCCCACCCCCAGTGACAAGGAACTGCGATTTCCACAGGAAACTTATGGGCCAGCACTCACTGCAGCTGCCTCACTTGCCACAGCCCTGAACCCACCTGTTGCCACTGAGGGGGCAACACTGTCTCCAGGCCCTGCCCAGGCCACTCTGCAGCAGCCGCTGGGGGTCACTTCATCTCACCTCCTTGCCCTCCCCACAGAGGCCCAGGCCAGCAAGGGAGCAACTGCCAGCCAGCTGGCCGTCCAAACCCCAGAGTCTTCCTCCTTCCCCTTTTCTAGGAAGACCCCCACACCTGGGATGGGATTAGGTGCCATGGAGACAACCAGGGTTACTATGACCTTTGAAGGGAGCCCCAACATCACAGTCTCCTCCCGGTCACCCTCTGTACCTCGAGTCCCACTCTTAACCAAAGCAGTGACAGTCCAAGGCCCTGGCTCCTTGCCTGTTAAGACGACACCTCTCCGGTCCTTCCCAAGCCTGGAGGTGCCCACAATCACCTCCTCCAAGCCTGTGGCTTCCCCTGGAGTGACTTCTAGGCCCCCCACTTCCTTGGGATCCCATGAGGTTTTGCTGACAGCTGCAACAACAAAGGTCATGAACAGGACAGGGGTGCCCCAGACCATACAGACCCAGAGCATTTCCAATGCCAGCAGCCTCCCCGCCATGGACAGAACAGCAGCAGAACAGGTTCCTGTTAGTCCTCTGATGACCAAGGCAGTGGAGATGGAGCCACCTACACAGAAGGTCCAACTTGGTCCTGGACAGCCCCTGAGCCTGCCAACATCCCTGCTGCCAAGCCCACTCCCCACTGCCCTTCCCGAGCCCACCAGGCTTAGCACCACTGCCACCCGGCTGCCAGTTCTGCCCCCAGGGGCTCCGGCTGCTTCTGGCCTGTCCACAGTAGCTCACGGTCTGAGAGCCACACCCTTTATGGAGTCAACTCGGCCCCACCAGCTCCTTTCTGGCCTACCTCCTGACACCAGCCTGCCCCTGGCCAAGGTGGGCACATCTGCCCCCGTGGCCACACCTGGCCTGAAGGGCTCTGTCTTCACCCCTCCACTGCAGCAACAGGCCACATCCGCCATGGCCACAGCCTCATCTGCTCAGACACTAAGCCCAGTACTGCCCCTCACCCCTGCTGTGTCTGGCCACATGCACCCACCCAGTCACGCCGCCCCTCAAGCAACAGAAACAGCTCCAGGCCTGCTCCAGGGAGCCACACTGCCGAGCTCTGGAGACGGGGCTGTGGCTGAGGGGGAGGCCTCCATAGTATCTATTGCTCCACAAAGGAGTACCACAGAGAAGAGGACCATCCTGTCCAAGCAAGTATCGCTGCCCACCTCAATGTACGGTTCTGCTCAGGGTGGACCCACAGCGTTCTCATCTGCTGTGGCCCACACTGTTGCTACCTTGGTGACTGAGGCCCAGGGCCCCTGGGCCAGCACAGTGGCACGCGTGCCCACCTCCTATCCCCTGAGCCGAGTCTCAGCCAGGACCGCCTCCCGAGAGAGCTCACTGGTTCTGCTCCCTCAGCTGCCTGAGGTCCATGGAACCTCAGCTGGACCTCAGGTCCCAGCAGAGCCTGTGGGAGAAGCCACCACTGAGCAGTCTGGCCGCTCAGCTCCTGCCCAAAGCATTGCAGAGGATTCAGCCACAGAGGCCAATATGTCTGCCACGTGTGTCGTGAGTAAACTGTCAGGATTCTGGCCCTCTGAATGGGGGTCCTCTATGCCTCCCCCACTCTTGTGCCACTGGGACATGGACACCACTGCTTTCGCCAGCAAGGACAAGCCCTGCTGCAGTGTAACTTTCTGCTGGGCTGTAGAGGGGATAGTCACTGTCCTTGCCTCTGCCCCAAAGTTTGGGTGCCTGGAAATTTCTCCAGGTTCCTCTGGGCCCTGATAACATATTAGAGTCCCATTAAGCTCCACTGGGGCATCAGGACTGAATGGATGCTTGGTGTGATGCCCATTCTGCAAGTGACAACACGAGTGTGCTGGTGTGTGCCTGGTTGTATGTGTGCACCCATGTAGGACTGTGTGTGCACACATGTGAGCTGACAACTGCGAGCTCTCGTGTATCTGTGTACGTAGTACAGGTTGTCACGAGACTGCACTGAGAGGTGGCAACAGAGTATGTGTGTACACAGGCGCGTGCTTGCGTTTCTGGGAGTGTGAGCAAGTGTGGCGATCTGTGTACCTGGTGCTGCCTGCATATCTGTGCACCTGGAGTTCTCTCCCTGGCTTGGCAGATAATCAGGTCTCTGGGAGTCAGTCCACGGGACCCCAGTCTCGCACCCTGTTCCTGGTGGCCTGGTGGGTGGCACCAGAGAGGGGGGGACCCTTTCCCTACTTTGTCTCTGGGTTCCCTGCCTGCTAGAACCAGAAAGGATCTTGTGCCCTTGTGTTTTGGGGCAGCTGGGGCTGGGAGTGTGTGGCAGTGAGCCTTGGGTGGGCACTCACACTGTCCTTTCTGTGTGCCAGCCAATTGCCGAGCAGGACTGTGTCCGCCATATCTGCCTGGAGGGCCAGTTGATCCGGGTGAACCAGTCCCAGCACTGTCCCCAGGGCATCGCACCCCCTCGCTGTGGGGTCCTGGGCCTCGCAGTGAGGGTGGGTGGGGACCGCTGCTGTCCCCTCTGGGAATGTGCCTGTGAGTCCCTGGGCTCCCCGGAACCCCCCCCCCCCCAAGACCTTCTTGTCCTCCTACCCCAGTGTGACCTCTGCCTCTGACCTAAACATGCCCTCCTTTGGGAACTCTCCCCTCAGTGTGACCCCTGACCCAAAAGATTTCCTGCCCTTTTGACCTCTGATGTCTGTATGCTGCCATCCAGCTCCAAGGCCTCTGGGAAAAAGCTCAGGCACTGGTCCTTGTTTCCTGGGTGGCTTTGGCCTGGGCCTCTGCTTATTTTTCTCATCCTTGCCTCTCCCCACAGGCCGATGTTCAATCTTCCCTGACCTCAGTTTTGTGACCTTTGATGGGAGCCACGCAGCTCTGTTCAAGGAGGCCATCTACAGCCTTAGCCAGAGCCCGGATGAGATGGTCACTGTCCATGTTCTGGACTGCAAGAGCGCCAACCTGGTGATTGCCCCTGGCCTCCATTCCTGGGGCGCCCGAAGGTTTGAGTAGGTTGGGAGAGGAAATAGAGCAGGGATTCAGGCTTTGATGTTAGAGGAAGAACTGATGCAGAAGCCCTACTGCAGCCCCCAGCTGCTCCCCCAGGGAGCGCCTGGGGTGGTGCTTGGGGAAACGGTGCTATCTCCTGTACCTCCTGCTTCAGTTCTTCCCAGCCCCTAGACCCGTGGTACATTAGAGGCCCTCAAGTGCATTGAACTGAGATGACTCTCCCAAGGTGTGTGGTCACAAGTGCCAAATGCAGGCAATTGGCTATTAGGATGTCCCCGTGAGCTAGAAGGAAGGAGACAGCATTGGGAAGGGGGGGGGGTGTGGTGGGGGGGGTCCAAAATATTCCATCACATTCTAGACAGCAGGTACACAGCCCAAGTGGGTGCCTCTGGCACAGTGGGGCAGGGTGTGGAACTAGGGGCAGCAGAACTGGGCTCCAGGCTAAAGAAAGTTCATCTCTCTCCAGGGGCACCTCAACTGGCCCCCTTTCTGCCTGGTGATGCTGAATGTGACTCACCTGACCCATCAGATCACCATTGACCGCTTCAACCGGAAGGTGAGTGCATTAAGATACAGCCCCCAAGGGCAGGGCAGCTGTCCTCAGAGGGACAGGGTGTCCAGGGGTGCAGGGGCCTTGAGGCTTATTCATCTTTAGGGCAGGGGTAAGGAAGGGGTTTTTCTCTTAAAGAAAAACAATGCAAAATTTGTGCTTTCATAAGGAAGGGGTTTTTCTCTTAAAGAAAAACAATGCAAAATTAGTGCTTTCAATTAGAATACCTGTGCTCACTCTAGTGTCAACCTGAGAAGTGTAGCAAGAAGATATGGTGATGGAGTTTGACTTAGAATGGCCAGAAGCAATGGCCTTAATGATTGTAGTTAGAACGTCTGGCCTCTACAGTTTCATGCAAAATTATATGGCCCTGTAAGCACATTACTAGAGCCCTTTCCAAGAAAGGAGCTATATAAGCAAGGAGCCCTGAATTTTCACTTCCTTAAATTTCTCTGTGCTCTTCTGCTTATTCATTCCTCAACTTCCCATCACAGTCACTGGTCTGTTGTCTCCAAGATTTGCCTTTTCTAGAATGTCAATCGTTGGAATCATATTGTACGTTGCCTTTTCAGAGTCAGATCTTTCACTTAGTAATATGCATTTAATATGCATATTTAATATGCATGTCTTCTCATGGCTTGATAGTTCATTTTTGTTAGTGCTGACCAATATTCTACTGGTGTTCTTTAAACTATTAATATGCTAAATTACTTTTATTTTCAAGTGTTGAACCCATCTTGGATTCCTGGAATTAATTCCACCTGGTTGGGTTGTATTATCCTTTTTTTATGTATATATTGTTGGATCCTCATGAGAGGGGGATTAGTCTAAATCTTCTTTTCTTATATTAGTTTGCTTTTCGTATCAGATAATATTGGCCTCATATAGTAAATTAGGAAGCATTACCTCCTATTTAATTTTCCAGATGTTTTTGTGAGAATTGGTAGTATTTCCCCAAATATCTAGTAGAATTCACTTGGCCCTGGAATTTTCTTTTGAGGTTTTAAAATATATGTTTAATTCCTTTAATTGATATAGAACTATTTTGGTAACCCATTTCTTCTTTGGTAAGCTTGAGTAGTTATCGTCTTTCAAAAAATTTTGTCCATTTCACCCAAGATACTGTATTTCTAGGAATGAAGTTATTCATCATTTACTCTTAGTATCTTTTAAACATCTGTAGAATCTGTATCTATGAACCATGTCTAATTCCTCTGACTAGAGGTTTATCAAATATATTGTTTTTTTTCAAAGATTGATTTTATTAGATTTCTACTTTTATTGATTATTTCTGTTTTCTATTCTATTGGTTTCTATTACTATCTTTATCTTTTCTTCTGTTTATTTTGGGTTTAATTTACTCTTTTTTTTCTAGTTCCTTTAGGCAGTAGCGATGGTCATTGATTTGAAGCCTTTCTTTTTCCCCCTAACTGGACATTTAGTGCTACAGTTTTCCCTTTAGGTTCTGATGTAGCTGCATCTTTCAGTTTTTGATATGTTTTGCTTTTATCTCATTAAGTTCAAAATACCTTTAAATGCTTCTTTCTGATTTTTATCTTACCCATGAGTTACTTATAAGTGCTTTCTTTAATCTTCAAATATTTGGTGACTTTTCAAATACCTTCCTTTATTTCTTTCTAATTTAATTGCATTAAGGGACATGTTTTTGTCTAATTTGAATCCTTTTAAATTCAATTAGTCTTGTTTGATGCACCCGAATATACTGGGTCTTGGTAAGTGTATATTCTATTGTAGAATGGAGTGTTTGAAGGTCAAATTAACTATGTTGTTCAAGACTTACAAATCCTTATTGATTTTCTGACCATTTGACTTTTTCTAAGAATTAAGGAGAAAAGATGTTGAAATTTCTAACTATTTATCCTTGGAATTTTATCAGTTTTTTTATTTACATATTTTGAAGTTCTGTTTAGGTACATACTGTTTACAATTGTACATCTATTTGATAAATTAACACCTTGATCAGAATAAAATGACTTTTTTTATCCTGGTGAAAGTTTTTGTTCAAATTCTGCTTTATCTGAATTATCTGTAATAGTTTCTCCAGCTTTCTTTTGGTTTGTGTTAGCATGTGTATCTAGTATCAAAGATACATCTTTTTCTTTTAACCAACACTTGTACCCTTCATTTAAAGTAGCATTTTTTTATAACAGTTTATTTTTACATCATTTTTGTACATTTTTTTTTCCATCTCAATTGTAATCCCTGCGGGTTTCCCATCACCATTTCACCCATGTGCCATCACTATAATCCCGTGCACTTCCCTCTCCCCCCCCCCATTTTTGATCCCATTCCCCACTCCACCCCCGCAAAATTTCTCTGGTATATGGTTGTTCATTATTTTTGTTATTTT